ATATGGCAGAAAGCCTGTGGTCATCATTGGCACAGTAACAGTGTTAGTAAAGCTTGTCCTTTTTGGATGAAACTAAGATATTCCACAAATATTGCTTTCTTTAATTGGAGTTCATTTTTTTTATTTGCCTTCAAATTGAACATGATTTACAGGGTTATATTCAATGCCGTTTTTGGCCTTAGTGTAAACTATTGGATGGCTATTATTACAAGATTTCTTCTAGGAGCTTTGTGTGGAATAATTGGTACAATGAGGGTATGTTTGTTCATGTTTAATATCTCTCTCTTAGAAAATTTTGTGGTATAATTAGTACAATTAACACATTTGTGTATATTATGGCCAACTTGATTACTGAAGTTCTTGTTAATAATTCTTGTATGAATTCAAACTTTCTAGGCATATGCTTCTGAAATTTGCCGTAGAGAATATCATGCTTTGGGCATATCTGCAGTAAGCTGCTCGTGTTTCGTTCTTTTCTTCTCTTTGTTTTGCTTCTTCTGTCTCTGTCCCAGAATATATTTTGATACAAAGATCTGGCCAATATTTTCTAGGTTAGCACAGCATGGGGAATAGGCTTGGTGATTGGTCCGGCTGTTGGAGGTTATTTTGCCCAGGTGCACTATCATTTCCCTTTTATTACTCTTGGGTTCTGCAATACTGATATGCTTTTTTAAACATATAATTCTAGCCTGCAGAAAAGTATCCCACCATATTTTCTGCAGAGTCCTTTTTTGGGAAGTAAGCAATGTTTCTCTGTTCTTTTATACATTTTCTTATTGATTTATCTGTTTTTTTTTTCACCTTAGCATTTTATCTTCCTCAATGAAAATCTGCAGATTCCCATACTTCCTGCCGTGTCTTATTATATCCATGTTTGCATTGGTTGCAACCGTCATGTCCTTTTGGCTTCCGGTATGATTGAAGCTTAGGCAAATAAGAATGAGTTGATTATTACACTATGTGATTGATTGAAGCTTAAATACAATCATTTACCAACTATATATGTAATATATTGGATTTAAACTAGGATAGTTTCATGATGTAAAAGGTTTTCTGATATTGCAGGAAACAATGCACACTCATAAGAAAGAACACAAAGAAGAACATGATGTTTCTCAGAATTCAAAGCAACCTGAACACGAGGTTCCGACTTCTCAGAAAAGCCTTCTGAAGAATTGGCCCTTAATCTCTTCTATTCTTGTCTATTGTGTTTTCCAACTTCATGATATAGCCTATTTGGAGGTAATTTATTCCTTGTTTCCCACAAAATTATGATAGTTCAACAAAAGTATCTATGCTAGCCTTTTCTAACTTGAGATATTGTTCAGATTTTTTCTCTATGGGCTGTCAGTCCAAGGAAGCTTGGGGGGTTGAGCTACACAACTGCAGATGTTGGTCAAGTTCTAGCCATTACAGGTACACAGGCATCATATCTCTACATATATATTGTTAAGAGTCTCACATTGAAAAAATAAGAGAGAATATATGGGTTTATAAGGTCATGGTTAGATTAGTTAATTTGTTGGATTCAATCTTTTAGTGTGGTTTGACTCATGTGCCAATCTTTTAGGCATTGGACTTCTACTCTTTCAGCTTTTCGCTTACCCCTTGGTGGAAAAGGTTCTTGGTCCTGTCATGATATCCCGCATTGGAGCAGTATGGCCTTACCTGGGTTTCAGTATCCTGCTCATTTTCGTATTGCATACCATCAAGTTCCATACTGGTTTCTTATCTTGTTTTCTGGTTTAAAATCCAGGCTCTTAGCATACCATTGCTGTCAACTTATCCATACATAGCTCTGCTATCTGGTCTCTGCCTCTCCGTGGTGCTTAATTGCGCCTCCATGTTAAAGAATGTGCTCTCTGTAAGTTTCATTTCCCAAAATTCCACCCCAAATATCACACTTTTGCGAGTCTTTATCTGAATATTTTCATCCTTGTCGTCAGGTATCTATCACTACAGGACTATTAATCCTTCAGAACAGGGCAGTTGTAAGTATCATACTTGAACAAAGAGTTTTTTCCACTTTTGATCCCACGACTATGGAACCATTTTCACATTTAGTCCTTGACTATTAATTTTTTTCACATTTGATTCCACAACTTTTAAATCCTTGTCACATTTGGTTCCTCTTACCAAATTTCTGGTCACGGGTGATTTATCTTAAAATGTCAAAATTGTGATATTTCATTACTTTTTTCTTTAACTTCTCAGTGAGGAGATTAAAAAATGACAATTTTGTCATTCAAAATAAGTCATTTGCCTGAAATTTAGTCGGAGGGACCAAATGTGGCAATGATTTAAAAGTCATGGGATGATTGGGATCAAATGTGGAAAGATTTATAGTCAGAGATCAAATGTGAAAATGATATTATAATCATGAGATCAAAAGTGAAAAAAACTCCTTAAAGAAGTTCTTTCAAGGGCTTCGTTGTATCGGTATAGAATGCTTACACCATGTGACTATGTTTTCAGAGCCAGGAGCAGAGAGGAGCTGCCAATGGCATTTCCATGTCTGCAATGTCTCTTTTTAAGACAATTGGCCCAGCAGCCGGGGGTTCATTGTGAGTTGTCTTTTTTTACGTGCCTCTCTGTCGTAGTTCAAAATGTTCTAAACTACCAAACAATTCTCCTAATTCTTAAGAGGTTCTATATGTTTGCAGATTATCATGGTCACAACTGCGTCAAGATGCAAAGTTTATGCCAGGTAAACTACCACTCAAGATACATATGCTAGTCCAACCATAAACTATAAGATATTAGCAACACGGATTAAAATTTGTAAATAAAATTAGTTATATGCATCAAAGATGGGGTAGTTAAACACTTAAACACTCGAATAAGAGAGCTACGGGCACGATTGTGGCCTTGGAGCAGAAGTCAATAAGAGTTATAACATATAGTCTTGAGATTGATGATAACTGTCTGTCTTTTAGTGATCTTGACTTGGAGTTTGGATCTGCGTAGTCTTAGGACTAGTGAATGACCTGAGATGATTCAACCCGTAAAGGGCCAATGACTAGGAGAGACCAAATGACGACTTACTTGAGCCTAAATAACTAAATGTACCAAAACTTATCGGATCAAACCTAAAACCGGTAAGGCGGTAACCAGTTGAAATGGGATTTTTCCTTATTGTAAATGATCAAGGTGATGTTATATATGATGCAGGCGATCAGCTGGTTTTCTTCGTCCTAAATGTGTTTGAGTTGCTGGGTCTGATTATGACATTCAAGCCCTTTCTCCAACTCCCCGAGGATGACATTTTAAAGTCAAAACAAGATGGGGCTGCTGAAGAGAACTGCATGCAACACAGAATTGCATTGCCTGAATTGCCATAGCCATGAAATACCAACTTCTTGTGGACTGCTTTAATATCCTGTATGACAAATTTAATTTTTTAGTACGAGAATCATGTTTTACCCACTAAATCATCCTTTTGAGTAAAATGTAGGTTACCATCTTGAACTTCCAAAAAAAAGTTGGTTTAAATAAAGAAAGTTTCCATGGTTGGAGCATATTGGTAAGGAAAGATGATACTCAAACTCCCTATTTTTCCGCATGATAAATTTGATGCACGTTTAGCCGTTCTAATTAATCTTGTGCCTAAAAATTCATTCATACCTAACTTTTTAATGCAAGGAGTACAATAAAGTATTTACCGATATAGGATTTTTCCCTTGATTTTTATAATTGTGTACCCAAAGAATACTATAAAAGTCAATACTTCATTTAGTTCTTGAGAAGTTTGACTTGCCCAAAGCCCCAAATGGACAAACTAATTTTATGAAAAAGAAAGAAGTGTTAAATAGTTCATTAAATTTGTGAAATTTACATAATTAGATTAATAAATACAAAAATTGTGCAATTAATTTACTTTGTCGATAATCATCTGAAACTTTTAACAACGGATGATTTAGTTATGGCATTTGGCATATAAAGTGTTTTTTGTTTTTGTTTTGGAATGACACTATCATGTCACACCATATAAAAAGTCTAATTTTAATTTTTAAAAAGATTAAAAAATGCATCCAAATTTAAAGAGTCGATCGTGACAACTTTCTTCCTTCTTTATAGACAAAGGAGGAAGCAGCCATCCTCCCCCTCCTTCGTCAATCTCAATGGAGGAGCCTCTCCCTATTTGGATGAGAAGACATCCATTGTCCCCTCTCTCGTTCATGTCATCGAAAAAAGAATTGATTGTGGATGCTTCATCTTCAAACATGGACAAAAATGCTATGTTTTCTTTTCTAATTGAATCTTATATAACTTAAAATCATTTCATAGCCAAGCAGCATACCAATCATCAATTATTATAAGACTTATATGTTTATCCACAATAGTCTATTTTAATTTGTACATTTTCCTTTGAAAAATTATAATATATCAGTACACTCTCTAACACTGTTGAACGTGTGTGCACACTCGTAAGTATATAGGATGACAAGAAAAATTCGCAATCATTATCCCTGTGTGTATTAATAAACTGACTAAACTCTAAACTTGCGTAATAGTTTAATGTTGACTTTTTAAAATGAGGCTTTGCAATAATAATAATGAATTTTTAAAATGAGATGATGGATTGTGATTTACCATTAATTTAGAAGATTTATACAATAAATTAGTAACAATATACGGAAAATATCAATTATTTTATTAAAAAAATATTTTCTTTTTCCTCTTTATAACAACAGCAAGGTAAATGATATTTTAATTTTAATTTTTTTTTTGGTGACGAAAAGAACTTGCAATAGTTACTCAAAAGTGTGCATTAGGTAAATCTCATTATTTTATAATAGTATGCAAATAATGTAAACCGCACTAGAAAGATTATATGTGACAGACTCTAGTACGAGAATCATAGTCCACCTACTCCACCATTGATACAATTTGTTATGTATTACTATTTATGTATATAACACTACAACCTTATACTATACCGAATTTGTTTTGGTAGGCATCGGGTTTGTTGCGGGTCCTGACAGCGTAGAAGAATATGAGAGCAGAGTTATAGAAAACAAATGGCCAACCCTAGGAGGACGTTATTTCCCGCATCCGGCACCCACCACCAACTGCCGGTTTCCACCGGCGGCGGCGACCAATCTCCGGCGACGGTAGTGAGCTCGCTGAAGTCATTCCTGAAGAAGCCCCATGCTTTCCCGTTCCTACTATCTTTCTTCCTTCTCCTGACATGGGTCACCTTCAGATTCCAACGCCCCTCGGAGCATTTTCCGAGCATGGGATTAGGATCCGGGATTATGAATATGGGACGCCGCCATTGGTCTTCCAACGAAGACAATTCCGCTAACCTTGTTCGATTCCCTGCTTCTTCTCCACTTGTTGCCAAGGATAAGCGCGGATGGCTGCTTAACCCCATTTCGCTTGCCCTCGATTCTTCTATTTCAGGTCTCTTCCTTCCCCGATTGCATATCCAGAAATTCAGGTTTTAATTTGTTTTGCGCCATTTTTCCCTGTGCCCTTATTATAGCTTTTCTCTGTCACTTCAATTGGGAATGAGCACTTTAGTTATTTGAATTCAACTGCCCGCGCCCGGGCCCTGGCAGCTCTGATTTAGAGTTACACCCAATGGGAAGGACACCAAGCGAATCACCGTAATTTACTCATCCACTATCCTGTCAAGTCAGGAGGTGTGAGGATGAGAAAATTTTGCCAAATTATTTGAATTCAAGTTTTCTGGGAATTCTGAAGTTGGTGCATGATTCATTCAACCAAGGAAAAATGTTGTGTATGCAGGTGGAACAATGAGCTGTGCATCCATTCATGTGGGTGAGATTAAACCTGGTGGTGTTAGGGGGAACCATAGGCATCATACATGCAATGAGACATTTGTGATTTGGGGAGCTCATACACTTTTCCGGGTATGCCAACTCTCTCTGTATAAATATAATGTTGGGAACCAGTAATTTCCTATAATGTTTTGGACTTTTGGCTGTGAAAACCAATCTCATGGTTTTTTATTTTTTAGTTTTTGGGTTGGGTGGGGTTGGTCCTAAGTAAAGAATTTGGCCTTCCTGCTTTCTCAAGTCCTTTTTGCACATAGTAACTGATTGTTGGGCTCCTTACAAATGCTGATATTAGGTTTCTTCTTTTCTCTGTTAGTACTACAATGCATCATGCATTCATGCCAATTATGTACTGTGATTTACTGGAGTTTATAAATTCTCCATGTACAGCTAGAAAATAATGCAATTCAAAAAGGCTATGCCGAGGTGAAGCTTGGTGCAGATGAGGTTGCTGTTGCAGTTAGCCCCAGCGGAACAGCTCATGCTCTAGTTAACATAGATACTTCCCAAAGTACATTCTTCATGGGGTGCCAAGATAGTGTTGTTAACTATACTGACTCTAAAACTGATTTTAATGTATGGAAAGATCTTTAGGTTCTATGTATGCTAAATTTACTTTGCACAGAATAATTCAAGGGTTTCAGACTCTGGAGGATTAGGTTTTGGGATGACAAAGAGAATCTATGTACATGAAGCATGCTTCCTGCTCTATAGTTTGTGTTCACTTTGCACATTGGTACATTGTGCTTATGATCTGAGGTGTTTTACTGTAAGTAATCAATGCTCTATGTGCAGCAGAAATAAATAAAAGTATGCCCAATTAAAAGTTAAAACTGATAACATTCACAAATTTCCAGTCTGTCATGATTCAGATAGTTTAATTGCAAGTATCATTCCAGATAAAATGTTCATGCATGATAGATAGCCAATTGACTACCAGCAAGGTTATTTATTTGTAGGGCATAAAGTGCATAAAACTACCCTTATTCTCTGGATGATTCTGCTGGGACATCTATCTTCAGGGTCTCTACAATTGCTCAAGTCCAATTAGCCAGGTGGCCAATTCAATTGACGTCCTCCAATGAGATGAAGGTGAATATGAAAAACAGTTTGGCCTGCCAAAGTGCAATATTCAGATCAAAAGATGAAGTTGAAATTCTATGTTAAAAGATATGGCAGGCAAGGAGAAAAATACTTACCTCCATCTTTTCCATCGTTGATCACAAGCCTGAACCCATTTTCATCGAGACCTTCTTGTTTGGCTACAAGCTTTGCAGTGTAAAGAAGGCGACCAAGAATCTCGCAATGTCTCTCCTCAGCCTTCGAAATAAAATACTGATATAGTTAGGAAAAATATAAAGACAAGCAATGAAAACAGTAAACACGTAATCATGAAGTTTGTTTTATTCCCATGGAGGCAAAATGAATCACTTCTTCTGCCTTATCGTGTTCCAGGTATCAAAGGGACTACAGTTCTTTTGCACACAATTAATTTGTTTGGGCGCAAAATATCATCATTATGTGCTTCTAATATACTCCCTCCGTTCTATTTTATATGTATGATTCATTTAACGAGGCTTGACTGAAATTATTTACTATTCAAAGTTGGACAAAGGGAATAACAGACCCTCAAATGTTCAGACCATAATCAGAGCATATGTCATCTAATAACCATAGTTGCACCTTACATGGATTGCAAACAGTGTTCTAGCTTCTTTCTTCTAGTGAAAAAGAACTTTACAAAAGCTTCGTATTTAGGATAAAAACTCACGCCTATCTAGATAAGGAGGGTCCACCAGAAACTACACGCTGGAAGGGAATTTTCTTTTCCTAGGATTGGGTAACCACAACTCTCAAGTCTCAACATGTTCAAGTTCATATTAGGAGAAAATTATAGGAAATACCTTGGAGAGCCCAGTTAAACCATCCTTCACCTTTGGAATAAGAAGAATGTGTGTAGGAGCTTTGGGATCTATATCCCTGAAAGCCAAAACCTGTCCAAAGTGAAGCAGAAGTCAAACATAGCGAAGTAGGAAATGACAAAGGACACTGTCCACTGCATCATAAACAATAATCCAGATGTTTTAATCAAAATAAACAAAAAATTCATAATAATGAACACAAAAATTTCACAAGGGCATGAGTGTGGAAAAGACTTCCACTAACATGTGATAGGAAAATATTCAATAGGTTGAGGACCCTTCAACAAAACCTTATATTCCTTAAATTGGTGTAGAAACCAAGACCGGAGACACAAATCACAACAATAACAATCTATTCCCACCAGAAGATGAGTTTACAAAAATCTCCCAGAAAACAAGAACCCCATATCTTCCTTTCATTTTTATTATAGCTTCAAACAGGAAAACAAGTTCCATTTAGCCTTTCCAAATGCATCCTAGAACTATAAAGCCGGAGTAGAATACAATCCCATTTGCTGAAGCAATACATACTAAACCCTAAACTTCAATAGTAAATGCAACCTATTCTCATAAATTTGTGTGCTCAGAAATTTGTTCACTCAACATAAACAGCTGTATGTATGCTCAGAAATTTGTATCAACCAAATCAATTATACACGTAACCTTCAAATCATTTTCCAGAATTTGGCTCAAAGACATAATTTACACTGGAGAAATTAGAACAAACCCTAAAAACAAATACTCCCTAAAGAATGAAGAGGAAGAGGGACGAATATCACCTGATCATCCTCGTAAACAATGTTGGCCGGAATTTCCTTGTTTATAATCTTGTCAAATCTGCAGATCAAAAGAACAAGTGAAACGAAAATTAAAGGGGAAAAAAAGATCGAAAATGGAGTTGAAAATGGAAAGATACAGAGAAAGAGTAAGAGCGTGCGTACATGGTGGGAGAATCGGAGGGAACGGCGTTTCCAGAAGCCATGGGAGTGTGAGGAGAGAGATGACTGGTCAGTCGTTGAAGTCGGCTGCTGCTACTACTACTACCCTCGAATACCATTTCACGCTACAACTAGTCCTTCATCTTTCTTTATTTACACTTTGCTACACCACTTATATTCTAGGGAAAATATTGGTATAATATCCACCTTGCAATTTTAAAGTTTGAATTGCACCTGTAACTTAGGATCATTGTGAGATCTTGACCAATCAAAGCAGATAAAAGAAAGTAAATAATTAATAGTTGATTAAGTTAGTTGATAGTTGATTGGATTAGTTAGTTTGACAAATATTCACTAGTAGTTGTAAATAACTATTTGATAAATTAGTTATTTACTTTTATTATATTTAAAATGATCTATAAAGGTATAAACATATTTTGTTAATTTATTAATTTTTAAATTATTTTTACAATATTTATTTATTTTATTATTGTTATTATTATTAATAGTGAAGTCAAAATGAAAGAAAAACATTATTATTGTTGTTACGAAAAAAAAAAAGAAAAAAAAAAGTAACACAGATGAACAACAACAAGAGATATATAAATGTTAGGGATGGAAAGGGTAAAATAGTCATTTCATAATTAAGGTCAATCAGCTAACAAAAAATTCTACTCTCCTTAATTTTTCAGATTTTAGCTTTTTTTTTTTTGGGGGGGGGGGGGGGGAAAGAAAGGGGGGTTACCTAGCTACCCTAGTTACTAGTAGTAATAGCAGCTAAAGAATAACTGTCATTTCTCAGAAAATCTCTGATTGCCACCGGTGGAGTGTGGTAGTCAATCCACTCGTAATGCCCTCTTGGTGCCTCCTTTGCAATCCAGTCTGCGGCTTTGTTCTCTTCACGAGGAATATGGTCAACAACAACCGTCCACTATTTTCCGATCCACTCTTTGCACCATTTTACTAATGTTCCACACTGACCCAAGAGATCAGGACTTCCATTGAGCCAGGCAACCGCTTGTTGCGAGTCTGTTGATAATCGCAGCTTTTTCTTCCCTTGGATCCATGCCCACTTGAGACTCAAGTAGATCGCCCAAAGCTCGGCTTTCGTTGCCGTAATTGTTTTCGTCATGCTACTGAAACCCCCGAGCCAGTTCCCTTTATAGTCTCGCATCACGGACCACATCCAGTAAGATGATTGTTCGGTTGGAAGGAAGCATCTGTAGTCAATGTAAAAGGTCATTTTACCAAACACTTGGGGGCGTTTGGTTCACAAAATATTAGATTACCTTAGGGAATGTTAGATTGCTGTGAATGTTAAATTCCTGTGTTTGGTTTAGAACAAAGATATATAAATAAGACAACGGTAATAAGATAAATTGATTAAAAAATACAAAGCCCAACATTAGTAATAAGACAAGGGAATGTGAGATTACCTAAGAAATTGGAGGGTATCTTACATTCCCTTCCAATAGCTAAAAACTTAATGCGGTGGTTATCTGACATTCCTTGAAAAAGTTACATAACCTGAACCAAACATGAGAATCTTATATTACCAAGTAAATATAACTTTGGTTATATAACATGAACCAAACGCCCCCTAAAGTAGTCTAGTATTAAGCCAAACTTAGTCAAACCAGCAAAATTTGGCTTATCAGTTATGTTACCAAACATGGCTAACCTTTTTGTGCATAGAGCGTACGAATATGGGTGAAAACTTGGGGACTAATGCGACAATTTATCACTTTCACCGACTCTTAAAATGTACTCTAAAAGCTTAGGATTAAATTTCTAGCGTACTAGGATACCTAATGAATAATAATAATAATAAATAAAAAAAACAAAAAAACACACACACACAATAATACTATATGAAAAGATTATCATATTTTAAAAATAAAAAAATTATGCAAATTTAATCGCTTGCATAGTTTACAATATGATATTGTGACATTTTATTTATTTTTGTGAAAAATATTTGACAATATAAACGTCCAACTCTAATAATGAAGCCAACTTACGTAGGTTGGCCAAATGTGTGAGGTAAGCTAACAATTGAACAAGGATAAGAGGTTAGTCAAGGTCACAACTCACAGGGTCAACCAAGGGTACTGTATGAAATTAGGGTGGGCCCAAGGCACATGGGATCAACCCGAGCATGAGCTCATAATCCCAATTTAGTTAAGGCTTAATTTTTTTTTTTTCCTAAGGAAGAGGAGGATATCCGGTAGTCAGTATTTGACTCTCACAGCATTCGTTTGGCCAAGTAAGCCGAGCTCATCTTCTCGCAGGGTTCTTTGGATTTTTCTCGGATGGCTCTCAAACAATGTGATGGTGTCGTCTTGATCATATGCTCGCCTACTCAGTATGTCAGCTACTTTATTTTGTTCCCGGGGAACATATTTTAGATGGATTTCCCACTGCCGATTTCTTATTTCCTTGCACCAGGATACTAGGTTGCTTGCAGGGCCCTTGTATTCTTCAGTGCTATTGATCAGGGAAACTACTCTCGTGTAGTCTGACTCTACGATCACCTTCCGGTACCCCAGCTCCCATGCCTTGTTTACGCCAATGTATATCCCTCATAGTTCAGCTTCCACCGCCCCACAAGTTCCTACCTTCTTGGAGAAAGCATCTACAAAATCAGTTTCTGCATTTCTTAGAAGATCGCCGCACACAGCATTATTATAGTGTTAAGACATCCTAAAAACTTGGAGAAAATGAAGTACTACGTGAGGGTTGTTAGCCGTTATTATTATTGTGAACTATATATAAATAGCAAATATTATGTAATATTGACACATTGAATCCTATAAATAACTTGAATACTTTTTTTTTTTGTTTGTTTGAAACAAACAAAATTCATTAACTTAGTAAATCAAAGCCTAAAGCTTCGTATACGACAAGGAAGATGAATCACTCCGTACAATCTATCTTAGGTGGCTCATTTACTACATCCACATTCAACTTTAGCAAATAGCAATGGCTTCATCCTACTACCAACCACCTTGGACCAAATCTTGTACAACACATTGCATAATGCACAAACCATTTTTAATTTGCTCAGCAATATTACTTTCCTTTTTGTCTATTTTATTCTCTAATTCAATAACTTCATTAATTATTTGGTGTTAATTCACAACAATATTGTCACCGTCATTATATAGTATCAGTACACCAAATATCACAAACTCATTAATATAAAAACTAACCTTTTGCCAAGCCTTTTCTTGCAAAAAATATATCATTTTAATAATAATATTTACTTTTCTAAAACAAACCTTAACTTAATATAAAAACATATATTATTATATGCATGATTTTTTTTTTTTAATTTTAGAAAAGGTATGCGAGATATGCCTCACAAAACAAGACCAAATTCATACCTTATGTTTTTGTTCTTAAAAGTGAGCATTTTGTATTTTGAAAACCCCATAAAACACTTCATAATTGGTTCCTTAATTTAAATTATGTTTCATATTCTATTTCCTGTTTTCTGTGCTACATAAATGAAAATTATCATATAAAATATGATAGATTCCTACCCAATATATTGTATTATCACAACTGATTGGTGGATACACATATTATGCCATAATCTATAGGAAGAATTAACTTAATATCTGGGGCTTGGAATATGTTCCATACATTTATCATGTGTTAACATATTGTAGCATCATTCCAAAAGGAAGAGAATCATATGATTACATCAAAATGTTTTCTTATGCATTAAGAAGAACACAGAACTGCCAAAGCTATGTGAGCATAATTTCAAGTTTTTAAACTATAAAATTGTACATACAAGAAAGAAACTCGAGGGTTGGAGGGGGGGCACTGGTTCTCCTAAACAAGGTTTGTCCAGCCAGTTTACAAAGGTGCAGCAAGAAACACCACTCTCTACAACAAGTTTTGGAGACATAACAGACTATGGATCGACAAGTTTTAGAGACATAACAGACTGTATGCATCATTTTCTTCGCGGGTGAGATGTCAGAAGGGGGCTGAGCTTGTTCTGCGCAGCTGATACTTTGGTTCGGGAGGTGGGACGGTGGGCATCGCCTTCTCTATCTCCTGCACATTACGCCATGTTAATCAACACGTTTGTGGATGTAATAATGACTGAAGAAGCATGGATTAGTCATGACGGTTGTTAATGTAGCAGCTAAGGAATGCAAATAAACCAACATGATATTCTCCCGAGTTTGTATTTACTTTGAAACTCTGTATGGAACAGAGCTTTAAAATTTAGATCTGTTCGTTTGTGCTTCAAGGCTCCAATTTCTGATGCCGAAACAAAGAATAATGTCTCAAGGTAGTAAAGCAACATTGCATTCGGGACTCATGTTTCTTATTTTCTCCTTTAGTTTTGACAAATTGGTTAATGTTTAACTGGGTGTAAAACTACTTAAGTTACAACCCGAAAAGGAGTGACCATTATTACTTCAGAACTTTTCCCATCTAGAACGGGGCTCACCCTAAGATTGGCAATTCCAGGATACATACAACTATTAGAAGACTATAAATGTTCTTTAAATCAAAACACAATATTCTTGCAAGAGTAAGAAATTCACACCATAAAAAGAGTCTTCAAAATGAAAGCGGGGACTTTTAGATAAAAATTGTGAGAATCGGAAAGGAGATATAAGGTAAACAAATAAAAGAAATATGAGCTAATTAGGAAAGACAACGAACACCATAGTGGATAATCTAGTTTCCCCATATCTGTAACAGATATAGACTGTGAATTAGGGATACAGGGGTACATTGACAGATCAAATGCGTTGGCTTAATGATGTATTGATGAATCCAAGTAATCAAGTATACACATCTCGTTAGAGTTGATACTATGCAGGTAGAGGTGTTTTACGATCAGGAGTAGGCGAGTAGCAACACAAAACAAAACGTTAAGTCATGCACCAAAAACACTAAAACAATGCACATATTCATTATACTGAAACCATTTTATTCTAAGAAAATAGCATCCGGGGATGAGGAGACAAAGCATACCTTCTCTCTCCTAAGCCTTGCATTCTCTTCTTCTAAACGGGAAATCTTATTCTCCAGTTCATTGGTGTAGGCCTGTCCATCAATAGAAAAACATTTCATGGCCATAACAGAAATTTAACAAGTATTCCTCTCCTTTCTTTCTTTTAGTTTTTTTTTTTTTTGGTTAATGAAAATGAAACTAGTTTTAAGAGCATCCAAACTCACCTGCTTCCTTGCTCGTGACCTGGCTGCTGATTCCCTATTTTTTATCATCCTTTTCTGCCTCCTTTCGACACTTTTCTCAATCACGACATTGTCTGGGGCAACTCTCTTTCTTCCAAGCGTTTGTGTGTCTGATAGCGTTCCCATCAGAGGATCCAGAGCTGCGGTCATCTGTGTTCCTGGATAAGTTGCGTCCATGATTGGGTTGGGACCAACCGGGATAGCCTGTTGAACTGGATGAGCTGCCATGAAACCAGGCATGGCACTCACCTGTTGCTGGTGACTCTGTGGTGGTCGTGGCTGCTGAATTGGCGGCACATGAAACAGTGCACCGTGAGCTTGCTGGGCAACATTCACCGTTGAATCGTCCCCTTGAACCGAACCCAAATCATTCTTTCCCTGGGATGACTCGGCCACTATCCTGGCCTGCACCAAGAAATCCTCCAACGTCATCTCGCCCAGGGTAGCTTTCCTCTCGAGATTGCTACTCTTCTGCCCCTGCTGGATATCCTGCCACACCTCATCAACTGTCTTCTTGCTCAGATCACCAGACAGCTCGAGGCTGGACTGGTGATGAAGCGAGGCCCCCGAAGGCAGTGGGGTGCCACTGTAATCAACCCGCTGCACCCCTTGGCTCGCCTCGGCTGTGCACACAGTCTTCAGAAGCTCATCCAGATTCATACTGCTCAAGGGTTTCCCTAAACCCCCAAATTGCTGATGAACCTCATCAAGAGTGAGACTATACAGAGACCCTTCCCTTTCCAATCCATTTGATTTCGGGTCTTGCATTAGGGTTCCACCACAACCCCCCTCAGATCCCATAAACTTCTAACCCTACCAACAACCTAGATCGATTCCACTCCCTCCAATACACAATCAATCAATCAATCCCCTCTCCCAGAACCCCCTTTAATCATTCCATGCATAAATTATAAACCACAACGATTCGCATCAAACAACAAGCTCGCTCTTGCAGACATTAATACAAACAGATTCAGGGATTGAAACGCAAACAGGATCAAACAACGCGAAACAAAGAAATCAAGAACAATAAACAGAGACTTACAGCTAGCAGAAGCACAAAAGAAGAGTCCCGTCTCAAAAAGACTGGATTCTTGTGCAGCTCCAGCGTTCCCTCCCAAGAGAACAAGAAAACCCAAACACCATTTCCCCTTGCTGTGTTAAACCTGAGTGCTGACTGGCTGTCTCTAAGTCATGGAAATTGCAGAAAGTCAGAAACTCCACTCCATCAAGTACAATTTTGTAGCACTACTCCACCAAATTTATTGTTTTTTTTTTAATACATTGCATGAGTATCGGATAAAGTAGCAGACCCGCATTCTATTCTTTATTGGAAAAGTGCTGGTTTTTATATTAGCTAAATAATTTTTTCTTTATATTATTTATATTTACATTTTAATTTTAATAACCTTGTAGTCTACTGGCAGAAAGTGACTCTCTCAAATAAAATGTTATGAGATTGTTTTCTGAGAATAATATTAAATCGTTGTGCTTTAATAGGTTGAGAAAAGACTTTTTTTGCTTCAATATGTTGAGAAACTACATTGTAACATAGTATAGTATTCAAAAAATTTAAAATTTAATAGTGATTAATGATTTATTTTAATGTATATTATATATCATAAGGAGGTTTTTTATTGACATAAAATGAATTTTATAAGGAATCTTAAATAATACTCAATAGATACTTTTCCTTTTTTTTTTTTTTTTTTTTTTTAATATTTTGTTAGTAATGATAATGATGTTAGACAAAGGTTGAGAGGGTCAAGTGTAATATACTATTATTAATAATAGATTCGAGGTGTGACACTAGTTGTTATGTATGTATAAAAAATTAAAAAATTTTAAATTTACTCATTATAACTTTGTAGGACGAGGCAGTCACTATTTGGCACCCTCGGGTAAACCCACTCCTTAAGAGGTAAACAACACTAGAAGTCCCTTTGTGACAAGCTCGACCGAAAATGTATTAGCAAGGATTGAATTCATGATCTTCTGGTATGAGAATCATGCTCCAGCAATTCAACCACCCCTTTAATTTCAAGACTCCTAATTATACATTTTGATGTAGTGAAAATGATTAATAATGACAAACGCAACATTCAATAGTTAATTTTGAGTCGAGTTGCTTTTGAACCCCATTTAAAATAATTAGGAGTGAGCAAAAAAACTGATATACCGAGTGACTGATGACCTATAATCAAACTTATGTTAAATTTTTTTATAATTTTTTTTTTGAATGCTACTAGCTCTATTACATTGTAGTATCTGTTCATATACTTTCTCAACCTATTGAAACACAAACCAGGACTATGTGGTCCAATGGTATCTGGGTTGGATTTCCACTTGGAAGGTTGTGAGTTCGAGCCTCAGTGGAGGTGTTATTATGGGCTTATAGCTATTTTAATACTTAAGAATTCAATATGCATTTAAATATAAAGAGGGGCAATAATCCGTTTTTAGTCGATTATAAAGTTAATGAATATTAATTATTTAGATTTTGCAATCAATTATTAGTCGATGATGACTTTTTTTTTTTTTTTTTTTTTTGTTGTTATTGTTATTTCAATTGATAACCAAAAATTGACAATTGTACATCTTAGAAATAACAATTTCAATGCATGCTATTATTATTCAAACTCGAAATATTAATTGCAAATTTAATAATTATTTTTCCATTTTAATCACATATTCTTGTTAGCAACTGACATTGGATAAGGATGAGTGCAAGACAGCAAACTTTTTAACCACCAACGCCTACCCTCTTGAGACTAAAAAAGGTTTATTCTTGCCCAAACAATAAATATCCGTCACGAGATATTAAATGAAGAGCAAAAAGTTGAACGATACAATAATATATATTACCTTATTTTTTGATATTCATTTTTTTTTTAGTACTACTGACTTTGTTATAAATTACAATACAGTATATGTTCTTAATATTTTTCCAACCTACTGAAGCACGAATTCACAATTTTTCATATGAGAGAGTAACTTAGTGTCACTAGACCATAAGATCCTTAACAATTTTTCGATATTCATTATTTGTGTGGTTTCAACATTTGTGATATTTTTCATTAGAATTCTATTGAATATTTGTGAGATTGATTTCTATTGACAATCGAAAAAAATATCGTAAATAGATCATATAATAATAGAAAGAGTTAATTATGGAAATAGTCCCTTGACTATAGCAAAATTATCAATTTGGTTCTTGACTATTTTTTTTAACCAATTAAGTCCCTCAATTTTAAAAATTTTAACCAATTTGGTCCTCCGTTTGTTTGACCATTAGTCAACCGTTAACTTGGGACCAAATTGCTAATTTTGCTATAGTCAAGGGACCATTTTGGTAATTAACTTTAGGGGTGGGCAATTCGATTTAGTTTTCTCGAACCGAACTAGTTTGGTTTGGTAATATACCGAACAACCAAACGGTTCGATAAAAAACCGATCCGAACTTATCCGAATTGTTCGGTAAAAAATTGAACTAAACCGAATACCGTTTGATTTTTTTAAACATAATAATAATAATAATAATAATAATAATAATAATAATAATAATAATAATAATAATAATAATAATAAAAATAAATAAATAAATAAATAAATAAAAAGTAAATCTAATTCCCTTGCTGCTTGCTCTACCGTTCAGCTCATATTCTCACGGGTATCTCTCGTAAATGTTTATTTGATTTCTTTATGGTTTGTTATCAAAAGTTCTATATTATGTGTTATTGTGTTTACATAGTCTATATCCAAAGTCTAATATATGACAAGATAGCAATTCAAAGTTCAAACGGTATTCGGTTCGGTTCGGTTTTTACCGAACAATTCAGTTCGGTTCGAGTTTTTACCGAACCGGTCAGTATACAAGAATCTATTACCATTCGGTTGTTTAGTATATTACCGAATCTAACTAGTGTGGTACGGTTCGGTTCGAGAAAACTGAACCGAATTGTCCACCCTTAAAGTGAATTACCAAAATGGTCCATTGACTATAGCGAATTACCAATTTGGTCCCAAGTTAACGGTTGAGTAACGGTCAAACAAACGGAAGACTAAACTGGTTAAGATTTTTAAAGTTGAGAGACTTAATTGGTCAAAAAAAAAATAGTCAAGAACCAAATTGGTAATTTCGTTATAGTCAATGGACCATTTCAGTAATTAACTCTAATAGAAATCATAGAATCAAATTTACCTTTACCAAATTTCACTATTCAACAAAAACATTTGTGATACTTCTTCTCTTTAATTTAGGATGATGTGAACACCCGCAACGAACTACTAGTTGGGGTTGTATTATAATTCGCAAAATCATTGCATTAAGAAGATTGCGTGCAACAGGCTCGATTAAAAGATTGTTAGTAATAATTGAACTCGTGGCGTTTTGATACAATGATTGTGCAATGGACTCGATCGACATATACATACATACACACACACAAATATTTACTTTGGACTTTTTTTTCAAGTTATTATGTATGGATATTTGGCATCTCAGTTAAGGATTTTTTTTTTTTTTTGAAAGAATTTTGGTTAACGACTTAACATTTGAATAATTTGAATCTTTAAGTATTGTTTAATATTTAAAATATTTTGTACTAGTTGTATTTTGAGATGATTGGATGTTAGGCTAATTGAATATTTAATTATATAAAGGTATGAATTATTTGTATAATTTTAATAAAATATTATTTTTATAGTGTACTAAAAATTGAGAAATGTATAATTTTTATTTTTATTTTTAAATCGAGTTGGGGAATCCCCATCCCTGAAAAATCTTTGCGGGTACGAAGATGGGGGCTAATTCTCCATCACCGTGGGAAACGAGGCAGGGTCAGGGAGCGGGGACCCCATTTCCCGTTGCCATCCTTCTATCCACATTAGAAATTAAACTGGACCAATGATAAATGTTAAATTTTAGTATATTAAATATTTATTTCAAAAAATATTTATTTTAAATATAATGAAGGTTCATTTTAGCCTTTTAGATAATACAACACATTAAAAAAGAACATTCAAAGAATGAGCATTCAATATACTACAAATTAATTTATATGTTAAAAAATGTTGACAAAATTTGAACTTATGATTTTTAATACAAGAATCATATTGCACTTACTCAACTACTCATTTCGAGACACATTTGCCATATTTCTTTTATCTTGAGGTAAGTGGCAACCACATGCGACAATCTATAACGGGGAACAAGTTTGTGAGTACTAGGTATTTAGGAAGTTATTTAAAAAACAACCTTAGATCTGGAAATCTCGTATGGTTATTTTTATTTTCCTATTTGTAGCAAACATGACAAAACGGGTAGAACTCACGTGCACAGATATATACACCCATTATAGAATATTTGTAATTTTCTATGATGTAAAAGTTATTGTGAAATTATAAAATAAAATTTTTTGAGTGTATGGTAAATAGATGTTAGCTTATTGAGTTAATGAGTTTGATTAGTTGATAGCATTAGCTGATTGTAGAAAAGTGTTTGATAAATTAGTTCTTTACATGTAAAATGACTTTCTCAAAAAACTAACTGAAAAAGTTATTTTGAACAGTTTTTTGAATTTTAGCATTTTGAAGCAATAAGTTGTTTCAATAAAATTAATTAATCAAACACTCATATTGATTGTTTAATCAAGTCAAACATCTAATAATGATCAAATAAGTCAAAATTGATTGATAAGAGAAAAAGTCAATACCCTACACTACCAGGGTTCGATTCTGTGACCTTTCTCGAGGAGAGCTACAAAAATACCAATTAAGCACAATGTGTTTGACTTTTTTTTATTATTATTTTATTTTAGAGAAACAAATCTTTTTAAATATTTTCTTATAATTTTAAAACTAATTCAATTTTTTGTTTAATAATTTTTTATGCAACTGCTAAATGTATAAATTTTATGTACTAACACTATTTGGTTTTAGGCTCTCTTTAGCAACACTAAGCTAGGAGCTTATAGCTTATTTTAAGCTACTAATAAGCTATAGCTCTGTTTGGTAATGTTCCCAAAATAAGCTCATAGCTTAAAATAAGAGCTTATTTTGGAACGCTACTTTAACAGCTAGCTTCCTAACTTAAACAAACTAAGTTTAACAGCTAGCTTAACAACTCCTCAATTTTCAGCTCCGAGCTTATAGCTTTTCAATTTTCAACTTCTTTTCAGCTATCAGCTCCTAGCTTATAGCTTTTCAGCTAGGTTTGCCAAACAGAGCCTTAGATCTAAGGGTGTTAAAGGTTGAGCAATAATTAATGAAGGTCTGTCTTGGTGAAGAAATCTTCCCTTGTCCTTGGCTTTCTTCCTCTTTTAA